GAACTTGAATTAGCTGAAGGTATTTTATTGATATTTATATATATATATAGTTGTAATTTTATTTATAAATTTTACATTAGGTGATATTACACAAAAAGGTTTTGAAAAGAAACGTGTGAAATTACTTGCACCTTATCAACAACAATTAAGTAATTGAAAATTATTTTTTTTCTAAAAGAAATAGAATATTAATATTTTTTGGTCTAGTAGAAAGTCCAATCGGCAGCACTACTACTAATAATAAAAATAATAATAATAATAATAATCATCAACACCATGACAAATCTTCAAATCGTCAATCAAAAATTCAATGTCGACGTCAAAAACGTGATGGTTATAATCGATATCATTCAGGTAAATTATTTGTTCATATCAAAAATAATAAAACTAATATGTCTCTATTAGATGTTCGTCAAGAAGCAGTTAAACAAGCATTAGAACAATTTGGAGCTCGTCCTATTCCATCATCAAAACGTATTATTAGTTCTTTAGCAAAACGTAAGATTATCAAAATCATTCAAAAAAACAAGAAATATATTTTTTTGCTATTCTAGATGAATCTTCTGATGATGGTGAAGATGATGATGGAGAAAGTAGTTCAACATATGCAACAACAAATGATGATCAACAAAATAAAGAATCATCTATTTCACCTATTCCTAGTATTCCAGTACAAAATCATCATTATCAAAATCCTCTAACTGTTGAAGCAATTATTAAACGTAAAATCTCAAAAATATCTTTTTTCTGTTTTACATTTTTATTCTGTTTTTTTTACAGATATACAACCACCACCACCGCCGCCAACATCATCAACATTTTTATCTGATTTTATTCATCGTAGTCAAGAACCATCGTGTAAGTATTACGATAGTTAAATCTTTTTTATTTATCGATTCAAATCTCATGAGAATTCTTTTTCTTTCATATATATATATATATAGTATCAAATATTGAATGTGATCTAACACGAAGTGCAGGCGCACGCTATCGTGATTCAAATTCGGATTATGTTAATACAAGTCAACAACATTATGTTTTATATGGTGATCGAAATGCACCTGTTGATTCACCAATATCATTTGTGAATTCAATCAATCATAATAACGAAGGTAAAAAAATAAAAGAAAATCCATTGAGTTAATTCGTAGGTTAAAAATAATCGATTAAGAATATTTATTGATTCTAGTCATGCATGAATGTTCATCGTGTAGAGAAAAGAAAAACGAGTGACAAAGGAAATATATGTGTGTATATGTATTAGAGAGTAAAAAAGCAATTCTTTTTTCTTTCCTCTCACACATTAACATCGTATATGTAGACTCAATTGACATTTCAATTCACTTCTTTTCTTTCTTCTTTTATGTCGCTGATTGTCGTATATATATACATAGGACGTTTTATCGTTTCTCGAGCAAACTAAAAAAAAAAAAAGAAGAAGAAGAAACGAATGATGTGAAGGAAAGAATAATCAACAGTTGACTATTCAACTAAGCCTTAAAGACGATATGATGATGAGATCAATGATAATGAACGAACAACAGTATTATACTAAAGACGATATATCACCTGTAATATGTTTAACTAAACGAATTTCTTTTGGTATTCATATTTTTCTAATAAAAGAATTTATCCTTAAATTATTCTTACTCATTTAGAACGAAAACCAAGCTTACGTGTTTCATCAAAAATTCTTGCTCTTGTTAATACATTAAAAGTATGTCATTTGATTTGAAAAAAAATAAAAATAATTTAATATTTCTTTAGCGTCCAAAACGTAAACCAATACGAGAATATTATGAAGATAATGAAGAAGAATTAGCTAGTAAGTTTATATTGAAAGTTACTTTTTTTTATATAGATTTCATTTTTTCTTTGAAGTTGCACCTATTGATCCTCTTTCTCCAAGAGCAGAAGGTGGAATATCCGTTCCATCATGTGGTGAACAATTAGTTGTATCATCACAATGGCCAAAAACATTTCTAGCTGCATTACAACAGCATGCAATTCAACAGCCTCGTTCTAATGCTATTACAATACTTGATGAACAAACAAAACCTGCGCAATCACTCACATTTCGTAAGTTATATACAAATTTTGATTGACAAAAATCCTTTGTATCTTATTTCCATATATAATGAATAGATCTGACAGACATACCGTATTTAATTAATTTATTACTGATTAGTATCTATCATGAAAGGAAAGAATTCTTTTATGCTAGATCTACTCGAATTCTAATACAAACGAACTCAATACCATTTCGTCATCTAATTTCCCAAAGGATTCTGTCGGTCTTGGAAAACATTTCGATCGAATCTTTCGGCTGAAATGATTCTCATGGGACATCTCGATAACTGATAAATTAATAAGTGAAATATAACGATAGAATCCACAAAAATTCTGAGTATCATTTATACTTTAACTATGCTAAATCTAATGTATTTGACATACTACTCAGACAGTCTTGACAATAATTGAGTTATATTTAGTTCTGATTTATAACTATAAATCAATAACGAAAATCTCTATTATTATTATTTTTTTTATTTTAGTTAAATTATTAACACGTTCACAAAAAATAGCTTATAATCTACTTCATAAAGTTCATTCACATGGTAATACTGGAAGTAATTCACGAGAAAATTTACTTAAACCAGGCGATCGTGTATGTTAAATAATTTAATAAAATCTTATGAATATATAATATATTTTTTTATTTAGGTTGCTCTTGTTTATTCAAGTAATGATCCAATTAATTTTATTTGTGCATTTTATGGATGTTTACTTGCTGGTATTGTTCCGTTACCCATTGATGTACCATTAGCACGACGAGTATAAATATCAATAAATTAACATATAGAAAAAAATAAGAATTACGACTATTTTTTAGGATTGGCTTTCACAACGAATTGGTATACTTCTTGGTCAATTATCTATAAAAGTAGCATTAACATCTGATTCATGTTATCGTCAATTACCAAAAGTTCAACAACATACACAAACATCATCATCAACAAATTTAAATGAAATTGTTTCATTTAAAGGTTGGCCTAATTTAATCTGGTTTATAACTGAACATTTAACAAAACCACCAAAAGATTGGATTATAAATGATTTACCACGTTCATCCTATGAAACTACACCAGCATATATTGAGTATACATCTGTTAAAGATGGTAGTATTGTTGGTGTTACAATAAATTATGAACAATTATTTGTACATACACAAACACTTGTGAATGCATGTAAATATTCATCAACAGATATATGCTTATGTTGTGTAGATTATAAACGTCAAATTGGTTTATGGCATACAATACATGCAAATATATTATCAGGTATGCAAGTTATATTTATTCCTACATCAATTCTTAAATCTCAACCATCATCATGGTTATTATCAATATCAAAATATCATATAACAACAGCTATTGTACGTTCACGTGATATGCATTGGGCTGTATTAGCTTTACGTGAAATGACAAATATATCAACAACAATAAATTTATCATCATTACGTTTATTATTAATAAGTGATGGTTCAAATCCATGGTCATTAACAGCTGTTGATACATTTCTATCAACATTTGTATCTCGTGGTCTTCGATCTGATTGTTGTTGTCCTTGTTCCTATTCATCTGAAACATTAA